ATAAAATTGGAAATTTTAAAAGTAAATTTTGAAATAACATTGCATTTCAATATTAATATAACCCTCATCAATAATTATGCTTTTGAAATCGTTCTTAAAAAAAGCTATTTATGATTCTATTTGCATTTATCTATACATATAAATGAATGTAAAAAAAAAAAGTTAAGATATAATCATTCTCACATTTTTAATATACGCACTCATTGTCTGGATTTTAAACTTATTTGTATGCAAAGACATTAGCAAATTTATGACAGCTCTTTTAAAAATGCAATTTTTTTAGTCTAGCATCTATTAGTGTGATATATACAATAGATCATTAAATGTTTCATGTAGACATCCTGTTCTCACTTAATCAACTGTGTACAAAAGCAGGATCGTGAAATGCATGTAAAATTTAAATAGTTACGTGCTTTATGATTTGTTTGTTATAAAACTGAATGACTTTATCTACAAAGTCAACACAATAAATTATCATGTAGGCACACAATTAAAGCGAATATATTTTACCTCGTAATGTAACAGAGCGGTTTCGACAGAGAGCGCGAGGAATTATAGGAAACAAAATTTACTCTTCAGTGAAATTCAAGATACTGTACTTACCCTTCAGTGAATTTTTAAAAAGTAAAATTTGGCATGATCTGATTACTTTACGGAAAGTCATTTAAGAATCTATTTGAATCTCATTTACTTTCTTTTGTATTGCTACACTGTTAGACATTTCTCTGAAAAAATGGTTAAATAACAATTTTAGTTGTTATTTTACCATATTCAAGCAAAAGAGTCAAATAACAATAAACACGATGATATTCAAGCTCTTAACTGGGAGAAAAAGCGTTAATTAACTTCTTTCACCTAATACGGTTAAACAACCAGAATTTTATAGCACGAACTAGGCCACCTAATGAAGCCACTTAGTTCCTTGCAGCTGGGTACATATTATAGCCAAGAGGGCTAAGCTATCGATTTCATGATTGACAGAACAGGGGTTCGAGTCCCAGCGGTGACGCCACTATATTTTCTCTATTCCCATCAACACATTAAGAATTTCCGGTGTCCTGAAGTTTTCAATTTGTGTCTCTGGCCTGTTAGAATGTGATACTCTCCTTCATGCATAGATGGCAGCACCATAAAGCTGATAAACTATCTCCAATGTCCAGTTAAATTTCTTTTTTACCGTTTAGAAACCATACTAGTTATAAATGGTTAAAAAACCATAGTTTGGTATTGAAAGTTTTTTAACCGTATAATTGTAAACAGTTTCAAGACAGTAAAAGTTAATAAACCGTAAACTTTATGGTTAATTGAATGGACATACTGGTGCCGGTTATTTTACCATAATTTTATAATGAAAATTTCAACATTGCGTGTGTCTAGATTCTAAAGTGGATTTTAAACGAACTTTGGGGGCTCCGCTTACAAACATACAGTAAAATACTTTGGGATAGTTAAGTCTTTTCATTCGTTTGTTTACTTTACGTGAGCATTATTTCCAAGATAAAACGATGCCCCAGTTATTTTCCGTATATCTTAATTCTATTTTTAGCACTTTTTGATCATCCTTCTTTGGATCAAGTAATACTATTTATGTTTGACGTTGTCTAAGGTTTGTCCAATCAGCCATTAAACAATAGCAAATCAATCTTAACTCTTGTACCACTAAACTCTAAAATGAATTGCAAGTTAACTACTCTGAGAAAAAGTATAGTCAAAACTATCAGAATATTGTAAAATTTACCGCGCTTCTGGCTATATGCAAACACCAAAAATTCTGTGATCTTTTTAGTAATGGTTTTCGTAAGTTTAACAAGAAAATATAGTCCTATAAAGTGTGATAAAATATGGTAAATGTATTAAAATTTGGTAATTTTATGATTGATGCCATAGAGCAAGGCATAAAAGTCACTAATTTGGTTAAATTTACTTTTCTGCTTGTGTTTTATACTAAATGTGTGGTAATAAGAACTATAATTTAGAAAACCAGAATTTCTGGTAGCCCGTTACTATAAGAAGAGAAACATTACCAAATGAATCGTTTACCGTATATGCTGGCTTTGATTATGAGAATTGTGTTGTTGTTTTTTAATACCAGAAATGTAATTACCATACTATACTGTAGTTTTATCAGAATTTTTTTCTTCGTGTACAAAGTAATTAAAAATTCTAGTGTATAAAATGATGTCAAAAAAATAATAATATAATAATTTTGGATTATGATTTTAAGCATGAAGGTCATTCACTTAGAAGTCGACATTATATTTCTTAAGTATGTTTGCTGTAAGAATTTTTATACGAGAAATTTTTTTTTAAATAATTTAATATATAACTGGAAACACCAACATAATTAAAAGTCTTAATGTGGAAAAAAACTATAAAAACTGCAATTACGAGATATAAAATTTTTTTCGAAAAGTAACTATCTTAAGCTACTTTTTCTACTAAAAACTTTAATAAAAAAAAAAAAAAAAAAANAAAAAATAAAGAAAGAAAAAAAAAACATTTTGTGCGAATATTATTTTATACGGATAGGAATACGGATTATATGTATACTGATCATACGGATAGAAATATAATTTTATATGGACGGATTTTTTCATTTTTTCTTAAATCATCCGTTTGGGAGTAAATTAACTTTTAATTATTTTTTACATGCATTTTAACTTTTTGACTTCGAATGAAATTTCTGAAGCGTAAAAAATCATTATATAAAAAGAAAAGATTATATGGCAAAACCTGGCATTATCTTTAAACGTAACGAGCAATTGAAATCATTAAGAACAGGATTTTATTTTAAACTATTTTAAACTATGTTGACCTTTTGAGATAAGAATTAAAACGAATTTATTCCATTTAATGTTTATATCAAGGAAAAGAAATTCAGATTTGAAATTTAAAAGCATTAACAACTATTAAAAAGAATCAGGTCAATAAATTCTAGGAATGGAACTCTTTATTCTAGCATATAATTAAAGTGCGATAGTAAAAAAATAAAAAGCATTCAATTGAAATGAAATAAAGTTTTTAAATTGTTATTAAGTATCTTTAAAGTTATTTTCGATTCAACTCTACATTCGAAGTCTACTACGGTAATCAGTTACGGTAATTATGCTAAGAAATTTTTCTTATTCAGCAATAAACAACATTTCAAAGAAGACATCTAGTTGAAAACTTATTAAATTTGTCTCTTTCTTTGGCATTATGTCTTAAGTTTCATTCATTTTTATTTTTTTCCGAATCGGCATGGTTGTTTTTCCGTCAGAAAATGCGATATCATAAAAGTGCCAGGAAAAAAATGGTTAGTTTCGTTAAGAAAAAATTTTACATAAAAACTTGACAAAATAGTTTCACGCATTTTAAAATGTGCATTATGTCTGCCAAATGAATAAATACTTTCATCCTGTGATCTTCTCTAGTAAACTTGGTAGCATTACTGATTAATGATTTTATAAATGTCAAAATTTATTTTTGACTTATTTATTTTAGTATGGAAGAAATTAAAAACCATTAATCCACAAAATGAAATCTATATTAACTTTAGAAATATCATAATCGTAATGGAAATATCTGAATTGAAAAATACTTATCTTTATTCACAGTATTGCTGGTTGCTATCTATATAGCATACTATCATCAAAATAAATTCAAATTGTCTTTCTGATAAATTTTAACTTAATTTTAATACTTAAAACCCTTCTTTATCTACTTTTTATGATAATGCAATATTATAGATTTTTTGAAAAGAGTATAATGAACATATTTTAAATTATACACATTTTTTGTTTAACACATTTGAAAAGTTTAGCAATGAAAGGTTCTAAGAGACATCAGCTGTGAGGTGAATTTAAGACCCCCGATTTGAGAAAACATTATAGCAGTGATAAGTGTTTTACGATAATAATATGCTATAATATCCAAACTACTTAGATCTTCATTTATATTGTTAGAAAATGCTTTTCGTAAGTTGTATAATCTAATGTTATGATGTAAATAAATAGTGTTTAATATTATGTTTATATTAAAGTTTTGTGAAACTTTTATTTTGGTTTTATTTGTTTTGTGAAACTATTATTTGCAAAAACTCTAGTAAGTCTATAGTACACAACTTTACTAGTTTCATTTTTGATTACAAAAATATGTGCTCTTTAGTTTTATAATGTAGCCCAAGTAAGCCATGTGAATTATAAAAGGTAAGTAAACAAAAAACTAACACGTGCGATAACGTCATAAATGTAGTTACAAAGACAGCGTCACCATCCAGAATCATAAAGAAAGGTAAGACAACTGCATATAAAAAAATTATTCAGTTCACATGAGGACTTTAAAGTAAATTTGAAGTTATATTAAACATGGATGAGTCAAAATAGTTACGATTTCTAGACACAAGGAGAGCATATCTAATTTAAACATTTATTGTCAAATGCTGGATGTTTGTAGACAGCATTATCTAGGGCAAACAACTGAGAAAAATTTATGTTTAAAGTTTTCTTAAAGGGTAGCCATCACAGTCGGATCTGCCAATAAGACCAGGATAAACGAACAGTTTGATAAGGAATTTAATATTCATGAAAGGATTATAGATAATCTAAGAGACTCGTGACATTTATATGCTATAGTGCAGCCCCTTCCGGAGTAAAAAAAATTTTTTTGCTATCACCTTTTGCCATGTCGTGAACTATTTCCTAATTTACCACCAATAATCGTATATATTGATCTTGTTCTTTTCTGGGCACATCTAACCTAAGCATGACTTTGCATTCATTTTAAATGCTCTCATGCGAAATAACCAATTATGCTCACTCTACAGTTCATTTCTTTTGCCTTCTCTTATAACCCTGGATAGTAATGCTGCTATCCCTATCTGACGTTATATTTCACGTCATTTTTGAAACTCATATATAATGCAGTGCATTTTTTTTAACTCAAAATTTATTTTTCAGTTTTTTTTTCTTTGTTTAAACTGACTCATTGTATCACAATTCTTCCTTTTTCTTTCTCTATAGGTCGCGTAGCATTCATAAAGAGTACTGGTCTAAGTTATGGCGGCTTTTCCTACTTCACTATTCGAAATGTCTCGCTTCACGAATGCCAAAGATGGTGTCGAGACGACACAGAATGCGAAGCGGCGGCATTCGATTATTCAGTCAGAATGCAGGATGGACTTCCAGAAACGACATGCACCCTTCAAAACGACACTTCCGCCGGCAAGAGCAATGTCGCACCTAAAAGAGGAAAACACACCTATTACCTTACCAAGATGAATATCAATTCAGGTATTACTCATGAAATACAAGTCTTTTTATCCGCCATTTTTGGTCCACTTAATCGCAGAGCAGCTTTTTTTCTTTAATCTTCCTTTTCAAATGAGATTTTTAAATAAAAACAAATTATGTAAGTACATAATGAATATAATTACCTGAACAATTGACGGAATGACATTTATAGAAATGTATAATCATTACTATGTTTGTGAAATTCATAACTGAAATTTTCCGCTTATCTTTGATTACTTGAAATTTTTTTAATTCTCGAAAACTATAGGTAATAGATTCTGTTCTAAAATAAAGTATCGTGTCAGGTTTAGAGTTTCTTTATACAAGTCTTTTTTGAAAGAGCAGATAATTTAAGAAAAAGTTTAAAAAAAATTTTATTCCATAAGAAGAAACAGAATTCCTTCAAAAAATGAGCCCAACTAATCTGTTTACGAATTTGTTTTTACATTTCTTTCTATTCTTATAATCCTCTGAACATCTGTGCATTGTCATGTACAGGGATTAATATAGGAGTCTAATATAAGAACCCCTTCTATATTTATGGTCAAGTATTAAGATGCATTCTTAATATTCGAAGGGACAAACTAAATTATAAAATTTAGCGGACGATGCATTAAATCATGAAATTATAATCAAATAAGCACTTTTTTTTTGCGTAATTCTGAGTTAATTTTGACTCTCAAAATACATGTTGTAACCTCAATGTAGAAAAATTTTGTCCCAATAGTTTCCGTGATCAGCTCAGTAGTTAGAAGAAACTTTGGACCTCTTTATGTTAATTTAAATTTTCACAATGTCTCTGGAATTAGGCAAGATAATTCAGTAATTTTTTTAACACAAATGTAAAACTCGTTTGATCATAGATTATTTAACATGAAATTAATGTATTTAATAACTTTTTATTTTAATAATTCCCAAAAGTTTTTTTAATAGTAATTCAATTAAAAAAATTATATAATTTTTAACTTTGTTATTTTAAATGACATAAAAAAAATTATAGAATTGATCACATAGCCCTTGAGATTGCTTCTTTTTAAAATTTATTAAGCAAGCAAGAGTATTAAAAATTAATTTTTAAAAAAAACGTTTTTAAGCGTATTTTATTTAAGCAAGGAAGAGTAAAAAAGCGTTCATAGTTTAATCTATCTAAGCAAGGAAATATCACTTTCATTAGTTTGAGAACACGATAAGTGCCAAAATGGCGTCTTCTCTGTTTGCTGTTTCAGAAAAGGTCTGGCCATTAAAAAATAATTCAAGTCACGTTCAAATCTTATAATAAATCTAATTAAAAAATTCGACTTAGTAATTGACTTTATACTCATTTTTCATGGTTCGGTAATTAGTTTGTATTGACGCCAGTCATATTAGATTAAATGATAAGTTTTCGATTCCCGACAGTTGTTTTATGGAATGCGTTCTTTAAATTGCAATTAAATGATTGGATGTGGTTATGTAATTATGGTGTTATAAATAATTTTTAATAAGTAGACATTTTTACGTGTGCTGAACTTAATCTTCCATTAGTTCCTAATAAATAATTTAATAGTTCTTACACATTAAAATTTGTTTAGAAAAATATACATAATTCGCAAAGCAACTATATTTTTTTTAAAAAAATAAATAAACAGGAAACGAAACATATTTCCTTTTTAATTTCAGTGCATCCAAAAAAGTTTTATGACTACTGAAATAGTTAAATTCTGAAAATGTGTAAATTAAAAAGGTAATTAACTTTATAAATTTTTAATAATTTAAACCAAAAATAATGTAACTTAAAAAGTGGAACAATTCTTTTACACATGACTGGAACTTTTAGAAATTGTAATCATACTAGCATTTGTGAAATTACAGTTATAATATCATTAGTATAATATCATTAAAAAGAATATCATTAGTACAACTACAATAGATTCTTTTGTGACATAGAAGTATTTACATTATTTTTTTACGACTACTGAGTTATTTACATTATGAAAATAATTAAATCAAATAAATTATTTTTATTTACAAATTTTTTATTTAATTATACTTAAAATAGTTTAATTTTTTTCTTTTTATGACTCATGAAATATTTATATGATAAAAATATGTAAATTAAAAAAATTATAATGTTTTCAAGTTCTTAATTTTTGATACGAAAAATAAAATAGAACAAAAAGAAATGTAACTTACTCATGGAATTTTCATTTATTGAAATCATACTAAAAATTGCCAAAATAACGCTTACTCTGTGAAACTAAAAAATGATGCAATTTAAGAAATCTATAATTGTAATAAATAACTTTATTATTGATGAAAAAGGAATAAACTTTATTTAAAACTTAGCATATTTTTTATCGAATTCCAACTCCAAGTTCGAAAATATATTTATATTAATAAATTATTAAATGAAAAACGATAAAAATACTATCTCTAATTTTAAATTACTTACAAGTTTTTGGACCCAGATATCTTTAAAAAAGTTCTTTTTTTGTATATAAAACGCACTTCATATTCTAATCAAGAAGTTATTCAAAACTCTTGATGAGATGTGTTAAAACTGTCGTGTATTAAGTAAAAATTATGAAAATGAGGTAAAAATTAACAACCTTCGTATTTTTTTTCAACTCAAAAACTTTCGCTTGTTGAAATATTCAATCACTTCCACGGAAATTAATGGGAATTGTGGAAAATAATAAACTACATTTTCAAATTTTTCAGGAATCCATTTTTAGTTAAATACATATTTTTGGCAATAAGATGTTTCTTATTGATTAATTGTGTTTCTTAAGGTCCTGTTATTAAGTGGAAATTCTGTAAACTTGTAAATTATCTATCTTTAAACAGCATCAATGAATAGTTTGATGTAAAAATGTTACTTTTGAAAAAATTGTACTGTCCAACTATTATGAGAGCTGCACCAGACTGAATTATTGACCGACTGGTTACCTGTTGTTATAGAAACAAGAGTAAAATCATTTCTAATATGGGAGAGTTGAGGAAATAATAATACTCTCCCTACCTTAACATATCCGAAATGGGTAACCCTAAACCCCTATTTGAAGTTACCTATCTTTGTTATCACTGTAAAAACCAAGAATCGAGTCTGGTTTCTGGGGAAGTTCTCTTGATAGCTGGACAGTAGGTTACCACTATAGTCCTAAGTCCTTCAACTATTTTTCTTTCCTTCATTTTCTGACATGTTTTAACGTATCTTCTCAGATCACCTATGCGATAGATTGTGGACTTTTGAATGGATTCCCAACAAGATTCTTCGAGGTTTAGACAACGCTATCATCTTCACTTCCAACAGAGAATCGTGTCTTGCCGCCTGCCTTTCTGAAGTAAGATTCGTGTGTAGATCAGTAGAGTTCAACGTGGTAACTCATGAGTGCCATCTCAGCGAATTCGATCGTCGATCACCAGGAGCAAATGTCCATCTTGTAGACTCACAAGGAATTGATTATTTGGAGAATTTCTGCTTGCAATGTATGTTGTTGAAAGTCTTATAATTAGTAATTTTAAAATAATTCATCCTTTAAAAATTCACTCATGCTTGAATGTCTGTAATGTTTTGTCTAATTGCTAATTGATTATTTTTTCTCAGTCATAAAATTGACTTGCAAAATATTTGCTTTAATCTTTTCATCAATTGTAAGAAGAATTGTAAGCAACAACTGCTTAAAATTTACAGATAGTATTGAATTATTTTCTAATTTGTAAAAAGGTACTCTAGTCAACTTATACTATTAATAACACTCAAACAAAATAAAACACTTTTTATTACTAAATAAAAAATATTAGACTAACTGATGCACTCGAATCTGCTGCCAATTTATTTATTAAGGTTCATATATTTTAGTTGTTAAAATTATATAAAGATATCGCATGTGTAGTATATTGTTTCATTTTCAATTAATTTAGCTGAGAAACTAAAATTGGTGTCTTTATTGATGTAGGTTATTTATTTATTTTTAAATTAGATAAATAAGCTAAGAGCTTCCATACAGCGTAAAAAATTCCGGATCAAATCACTGGAAAAAGCAGAAGTATCATGAGAGTATCATGTGCAAAATTTACTATAAAATTTATTTTTACCGTAAAGTTTTATACCAGAATTTTTACAGTAATACATCGTTGCATTGATTTTAAAGCATATATTGCACTAAAAAATACGGTATAGCAGGTATTTTGGCCCGTAAAATTTAAAGATAGCACCCTGAGTGCTGATACTTTTTGCCGTAATTTGATCCGGAATTTTTTAGGGTGTATATGAGATTGTAAAATATATTAGTCTTACACTTTTATCATGTCACTATAAAAAGTGAATAATTATTAACAACGAGGATTGAATAATTTTGTTTTCCTAGTTTTTGCTTATCCTTCTCTTGGCAGGTATTCACTGCAAAAAGTGTATTCACATTATGTTACATTTTTATCAAATGATTTTTAAAAAAATACTTTGATGTGTTTACAATGATTGCCAACAACATCACATAAGAACTTTTCTCCATTTTTTTTAAAAAATCTAGCTTCAATGGTATGCCCAGGTCCCAAGCACTACAATTATCTTCAGGTTGGATTATCACAAGCAGCAGTAACAAGTTATGTTCAATACAACTACTATCCCGATAAGCAGATTGTGGTAAGCATCACTAGAATCATTTGTTTTATAATTGATATTTTTTTCTTTAACAAAGACATTGTTTAACACTGACAATATTTACAAAGGCTTTTATATTCAGGAACAGCAGACGTAAATGTGAACAATGTAAGTAATGTTTCCTTAGAAATTTGAAAACTAATTGCCTCAAATATACAAAAATATTACTGGAGATAGTCATGAATTCAGTCCAATATTTTCATTGCTACTCTAATTGAATTAAACTAACACAATAACGTATCTGCTGTTTTATATTCTAATTTACTTCGAAATAAACATTTTTCTGAAATGTTTTTCAAACCTTTTTCAAACTGTTTTTGCACAAGTGTACAGCATAAAAGTTTCACCAAAAAAAATTTAAAATTTTGCTGCAATACTGCACTGTAAAAAATTCCGGATCAAATTACGGTTAAAATTACCGACACTTAGGGTGCCAGTACTTTAAACAGTAAAATCCATTTTATTCGAACAAAAAATCTGATTTACTGAAATTTTAACTGTAATAATTACATTAAAATTACGGAATCACTATATTTAAATAAATATTATTATTAAAATTACAGTATATTTTACGGTAAAATTCACGCTGTTCCTTGTTCTTCATTCACGTTGTTCTTTTGCTTTAGTCTACATAGCACAAATTATTACCCTTTTCTCTGTTGGATAGATTAGAACTATTTCTCCAAAAGTTTAAACGGTTTTAAAATTACCAAATTTTGTTACACTCTCGATTATTAGAAATAACAACAATAACGAAATTACAAGCAACAGGCAATTATTGAATCTCGTTGTTTTCTTAAAAAACAGTAAGAAGAAAAACGAGCCATTTCGAGCTCCTAATATATTCGAAGTCTGGAACTAATTTAAATCAATGAATTACCATTATGCTGATGATAAATACGAGGTCCACTGAGTACCGGTCAGCCAACGTTGACCATCATTTTGCTTCCTCATTCATAACCCAAGACAGCTCGTAGTTCATCGTGATCGTAATAGAATCAATGCGAGTTTTAGAGGTTGAAGGTGAAGGTCAGGTTAAACGAAGCATTAGAAAAGAGAGGGTTATGAAAATAACGGTATTGATAAATGAAAATGTCCCTATTAAATAATATATTATCTACCATCATTGTTCATTGATTTCCATACTCAGCACGAAGTTTTCCGTAACGAAAAATGATGAATAGATATTTAGTATTAATATAAAATAATTCTTTTTTTACCTAGCAAAATACTGGTTTTGATGACCGAATGCCTCTTTTTTGCAAAAAGAAAATTCTAATAGTTTTGAACTTTTAAGGATACTATTTAACCCTATGCTTAGATGTGGTGGGAATATATTTACCTAAATGTCTTAAAAGTTACTAATTATCTCAAACAAATTATAATGATTTTATGCAAATATACACGCAATATGGTTTGCAAATATGTCTAAATATTAAACAGGTAAAAAGATGTTTCAATAAACATTTAGTTGATGTAACGTATGTTTTAAATCAGTGAGATGTTTCTAATTTAAATTTCAGATATTTATATTGATATTGCTTTTGCTTAAAAGTTTGATTTTGTTTCAAAGTTTTATAATAGTTTGATGAACGAGAAAGCAAATATGATTCTACATGAGAAAAATGTAAATTTTTAATAATAAGAAATTGTCTCGCATGTTTAACATGTTTTGATAGGAACTATACTTGTTTTTAATTTTAAATGATAGTTCTGAAATTTTTGCTAGCTTTAATGCAATACGAAAGTATGTTTGAATACTGAAAAGATGTGGGTAAGTTTTTCTGAATATTTATTTAACATAGTTCACTCTTTAAATATTTTTTTTAAAGAAATTTCTGTCTTTTTTTTCATGTAATAAATATTTTGGTTTCATTTTTAATATCTAATTTTTTAATATTTAATTTTTTAATTTTTTCAAAACCAAGTTTTAAAACTTATGAATCCAAAAAAGTTCATAAAATTTATTTTAATGTCAGCTTGCTTAATTTTTAAAGACTTAACTTCTAGGAATTATATATGACCAATATATTGATTTAAAAAACTCTAAAGCTGTTAAAAATACTATTTCTCACAAGATTCTGCACGCTGAAGCTTACTTAAATTTTTAGATAATAATTTTTTAGACCATGTTTTCGTATTAAAAAAATTGAGATTTAAAAAAAAATGTGGAAATATTTTGTAGCAACTAAGAAAAAAAAACGATTGAAAAATAACTTGGATTGACTATGAAATCGCTCAGATAAGGAGCGCAAAAAGTAATTATTGAAATGCCTAATTAGAAAATCGCAAGTCGTTATTATACCAGATTAAAAATATTAAAATTTTCGAAATCTCTTGAATAAAGCGTAGCGATAATTATTGAAAAAACAATTTTGAAAAAAACTCTTAGATTTGCAAAGCTTTGAGATTTGTGGCACAAATAAAGGGCACATTTAAATGCTCTGTTCGAGTATCGCATTAATACATATTAAAAACATCGGGATTTACAAAATCATGTGAAAATGCGGTGCAATAAATGCTGAAAAAACAATAAAAAAATACTTGGAGAAACGTTACTTAGAAAAGCGAATATAAATCAACACTTTATTACGACTTAATTAGTACTTAGAGAAACTTAGTTAGTTAAACTTAGTTAATACTTAGAGAAACTTAGTTAAACTTGGCTAGTACTTAGAGTAACTTAGTTAAACTTGGCTATTACTAAGAGTAACTTAGTTAGTTAAACTTAGTTAACATTTAGAGAAACGATACAGAAATAGTATCTTGAGAAAGAGAGTACTTAGAAAATAGCACGATAATATTGACACAAATAAAGCATATCAAAAGTTATTACTCTTTGGATTAGCACAATTCGAAACTCGCGAGTGGTTTTAATGTATGATTTAAGAAAGATCTGTATTTTAAAAAACACGTATAAATCCGATAATAACCTCCTAAAGCATGATTTAAAAGTCGCTTAGATAAACTCTAAAGTGAGCACAAATAAGGAGCTTTGAAAGTGATTACTAAAACTTGAAGTTCACGTATCATGATTTTGTCGAAATAAAAATAATGGGTTTTTAATTTCGTTGGATTTAGTTTAAAATTCGTCGCGATCATCACCGAAAAAAAACGATCGAAAAACTATATTAAATTTACCTCGTTTAAAAAAAGCGCAATTCAAAATTTCCAATATTTTTTAGCTTCAAAAAAAAATTTATAGTTTTTTTTATTGTATTTCAGGTGTTGCCACGGGCCGCAAATCGTGTACCCCTATCATAGTGTATTATTTCTGGATCGTGCGTACTCAAATCTCGTGCGCCCTCCCCCACATCGCGAGGGTTTCTGGGATGCTATATACGCCACTGCGGGAAATTATACTAGTCGGCAAATAATTAAACCACCCATATCTCACTGAAAGTCTTCTGAGACAATCACAATTTTGTTCTAGCTTAAAGTGACGTATTTAAATCTTTTCAGGTGAATAGTCGGCAAGATTGCCTACATCAATGTACTACAGAAGAGAGCTTTATCTGTCGTTCCACTCTTTTTAAACCAGACACAAGACCAGGAAAGGCTTTATGCGTTTTGTACCATCTGGATCACACAGCCTTCCCAGGAGGATCGGATGATATGTCTACGGCCAATCCTCAAGCAGTCATTGGCGGTGAAAGATCTCGGTTTTATTTAGAAACAGTCTGTGGCAATGGTAATTTTTTTTCTTTAAAAAATAGATGAATAATAGTATTTAAATGCCTTTTATATAGCAAAATACCAGATTTAAATAACTTGATTTAGATTATTTTTTATTTGTTAAGGATAACAGAAAAAAATCATAATATGATTTATGCCATTAAATGCAGTCTATAAAATTGAAGATTGGAATATAATTAACTTTTTGGGGGTCAAACACAGGTCAGACAATCTGTCGTTGAATTGCGATCTGCGTAAAAAATTTATATTTGAAAAAGTAATAATTATTTTTCTCAAAAAAAAAAGGGAGCAGCTCAAGAATTTTAATGACTATTTTCGATAGATACTCGATATGTATTTTTACAGATGATGTATATTCTAAATTTTAAGTAAAGCTTAATGTTTTATTCAAATATAAGCAAACCAAAAATCGCAAAAACTCAAGATTGAAGCGAAGATTTGATTAGAAATAGCGCTTCGGAATGGTAATGAAAGATTATTGCTGTGTACGAAAATTTTCAATTTACGTTTAAAAAAAATTGGAATTCTTTGGTCTAAAAAACGTAAACAAAAATGTTTTTTAGATAGAAATATTTTTTCGATTTGTGAAATGTCAACCGACTTAGAAATTATACAAAGAATTCAATCGGCATACATCAAAAATGAAATAGGAAAATGTTTTTTACGTGACAGAATTTTCAAATTCATTTCTTCTTCTTCTGTTTTTACAACAACGACTACAATCCTTTCTAACTTAGTATTCTTTTTTCGAAATGTAAGTTAGAAATCGGGGGGAGTATATTCGAATCGAATGGTATAAGAATCCCAATTCAAATCATTACAGTACATGTAGTATTTCATTCATTTATGAAGTAGACCAATACATTCTCTGAGTAAATCAGAAGAAAAATCGTTGCAATGTATGATTTATTTTGTAGCGAAACAATGTGTATAATAGCACAAGTTATAACTAGAGTCTTCTCAAAACTATTACTGAATAATTGTTTGTGTAAAATGATTGTAAATAATAGCTATATTGTATTTTATAACCGTCGTTGAACAACCGACCCAATTTGTTGGATTTACGACTACTAATGTTCAACTCCATAGCCTTGTAATTTTGAACCCAATCCAGGAGACAAGGGAACTCCTGGATCAAGTATCGGGGGAAATTTGCCTTCGTGGAGGACTTTTTAATGGAACTAACCCGCATCTGCGTTACATGGAGAGAAAGACCACGAGAACCTCCCACGGTTAGCCTGAAGGCAAGGGGAATCTAACCCATGATCCGTCTACCACTGAGGATATTCCACTTCAGCACTGTGGTTGGTGCAAGCCGGATGCGGAATTCGAATCGACTGGGATTCGAACCTGGTTCGCCTCATTGGAAGGCGAACGCTCTATCTCTTGAGCCAGCACGGTTCAAATTATAGGTATAATTAATATTAAAAAAAATCTTTGTATTTTTAGGACCAGCTGAAGGATTGTTCAACCAAGTGCCAGAACAAAAACCGGAATTTCTGCACGATACTACACCAAAAACTGCTGCGGTGATGGAAGCGGAACAAGACGCCTCTTGCGATGGTTATGGAGTGTGCTACGATGGTAATTAAATAATTCTTTGAAATTATGCAGTGCAGTTTCTATATTCAGGATCTCTATTCGCCGTATTTTGACAATGCATGATTATTCAATTTATTTCGTTAAAACAGATATGTCTTGGTATAATTTACCAAACCGATAGAAGACTTTCTTCTTATTTACTTTACTAACCGCCCTACTTTACTAATTGACCTACGCAACGATGTATTAGTTGCTTAAGCAATAAGCAGAATTTTTTTTTATTTTATTTGTATGCGCTATCATGCTGTAAACAAAAAATGGCAAAGAAGTCAAAGCTTACAAATAGCAGTTTTCATGTGGTTTAAAATTGCTTTGATCAAAAAAATGTTTTCTTTTCAATTTTTCCCAACTCACTTTTTTATTATGTGTTATTATTTCCGCAGTAAACGTATGAGATTTTTTAGAGCTAAATATAAAAAGGTGAAGTTACATTTAGCTCAAAATTTCATTTGCGCACTTGATCTTACACGGAGAAAAAAGGTAAAATTACTGGTAAAATTACCGTATTGTATGGTAATTACATTTTTGGTACAAAAAAGCAACATAATTCTGGTTATAAAACCAAAATATGCGATATTTAAACCGTTCATTTAGTTAACTTTCCGTTCATAATTTAGCGGTTTATACTGGTTATTAATAACGGAAATACTGATTTTCAAAATCATAATTCTTATTACCACACATTTAGTAAAAAATGCAAAACTGAAACGTAAATTCAACCAATTAATTGATTTTATGTCATGCTTCTGGAATCCTGATAAAATTACCAAATTTTATGACATACTGTAAAACCATATTTTATTGTTTATTTTACCAACATTTTTACTGAAGTTCTTCGGTAAAAAGCTTTTTGATGCTACATAGAAAATTTTACTACATTCTGACAGTTTTTGTTTTCAGAGTAGCGATACTGCAATGTTCCTCATGAGTTAAGCCCATTTATTTTTAACTAAACATTTTAGTTTTTAATTTATTTTAAGTTCTTTTTTTATTTTCACCATTATCTTTCCAAGCAATTTAGATCATTTAAACTATCTTCTTTGTTTACATCTAATGCTTTCGGTTGATTTTATTTCTTTTTCAGTTATAAACACCTCTGGTAATTATTTCTTTACAGTTAAAATCAGATGCAGTGACACGAAGATTGTTGTATTTGTGGAAACTTCTCGTCCATTTCATGGCCGGGTGTATGCTTTAGGAAGAAGTGAAACATGTAACGCACACATCCACAACAGTCAAAACTTCCAATTGGATCTGTCACTTACTGGACAAGACTGCAATACGCAATCCTTAGTAATATTTCAATACCTTATTTTGTTTCTTTAGAAAGATAATTTCAAATAACAATTTAAACTACATAAAAACGAATAATTTCAAAATTTTATTAAAGCACCGTTAAGAAAAACTAAATCTGAATTTTTTTTTATTGAAGGTAGTTTAAAAAAAACTATTAGCTAACTTAAAAAAACTAAAACCCTTAAAACGTTTTTATTAGAGATAGTTGTTAGTGATAGTTTCAAGAACTGTTAATAATAAAAAAAAAATTAAAAAATTCTTGATTCGAGCTTGATTCTAAAAACTTTTAATTCCTGCATAAAAATTTTGGTAAAAAAAAACTAACAACTTTTAAAAATTGATATTGGAAGGGTAGTTTAAAAAGAAACTATTTATTACTTCATAATAACATTGATAAAATAATTAAAACCTGTAAAAGGTAGCTAAGTATTGGAATCGGCAAATTACCTTTTCTTTTTAACTGATTTTAACAATATTTAATTACTCATGGATTAAATTTTGTATGTTAAATTTTTTCAAACTTTATTTACTAGTTTAAATTTATTCTCCTTTTAAAATAATTTTCTTACTTTCGAAGTTTTTTTTAACTCACTAAGGGTTATAGAAACCTTTTTTTTAAATTTTATTATCAATTTGATCGAGTTAATTGAAGTAGGTGCTACAAACGCTTTATAATGTTTAATTGCATCTTTTTGACTTTTTTTCAAAATACAGTTACTGGCCAAATTATTAGATGCTGTATAAGATTCTACCACATTTTTTTTTTCGTTTCGGGCTCTATTCATCCTCTGACTCAATTTTCTTCTGTATGCGTCGTGCTCTAGTTTCAGAAGTCTTCAATCTTCGCGGTTTGAAAATATTTTAACATTCACGAGCTCCTTTACTTCAGCTTTTTTAGAAGGTGAAAGATCACCTTTTTCACCCATGATGAAAATGTTCCAATTTATTATTTATACACTACACACAAAATTAAAAAATAACTGCGTAGTATAAAACTGTGAAACAAATAGACACAGCGCAAAAAGCGACAGAAACGCGTACGCAAGTGACTCGCGCGAGAACGCGACAGAAACCGGTTGGCACTTGCTTAGGTTTGTGTATCAGTTGGTTAACATTATTATGCAATACGTTAAAATTAAATACAAATTGGAAGTATATAAAAAAATCTCCCAAATAGAAACCCATTACATATATGTCTAAATATGAAAGTTGCTGTTTCGAATGCCACTTGCACACACTAGCAAGCCTGCTTGGTGAAACCGAGCTAATTTAAGGCTGAGGGTGCGTTTCTTGTTCTTCAGTGTCGCCACCTATGGCCAAGAATTCGCCTTCAGCCACACACACACGTCACAGCCCGTTTATAGAGCGGACCCATTCATTTATCCACAGATCGTAATTTTGACCAGAATCAGACAACGATCGATCTCCAATCCAGTACCCCCAGAGGTATTGATTTGTTATGGGAACATGGAGGACTTTGCAACTCGACAGATTGAACTTGCATCAGTCACCATTGACTACGCGGGGAGTTTTCGGCCGGCGGGGTTCAAACCCACGAACTCTGGGACATGGGCCCAGCGCCCTACCAACCAGGCTATCTCGGTATTGCATATGAACTCGTGCCAAATATGCATTTATTAAAAAACTACAGTGAGTCTAATAATTATGCCTGTATACTTGTAATTATTATTTTTAAATAATTTACAAGATTAAGAAAATTACTTTTTTTCCAGGCTGGAGTTTACACAAATACAGTGGTATTGCAGCATCACAATGTTGTTCTAACTAAAGCCGACAAAATGTACAATGTTCGATGTACTTACGAAACGACGTCCAGGAACGTTTCCTTCGGAATGATTCCTGTTCGGTAAGTAATTAAAATATTTTATTTCCCAGATGCATAAATTATCATATTTTAACTTTTGCGTACATTTACTAAATTGTGTAAATGTCATTCTATTCTACAAACTTCCTACATCTTTTAGACAACTTGTAAATTCTGAGGTACTTTTCCTCGTGAACTTCATTTTGACCAAAGTGTAGAATTAATAAGAAGAAATTCCGCTTGTTAAAAATATATAACGATAACCTTATATGAAATTTCAAATTGGAAACTTTTTTTTAATCTCTTTTGAGTTTTTAAAAATATCGACACGAGTAAGAAGATATATATCTAGCGAATTCTTATCTTTCACTCTCGCATTTTTATTATATTTATTCAATTTTTTATGTTGTTACTTTGACATTAAGTCAAGGGCAAAATTATTGAAGAAAAACCTCGATAATGATAACTTTATCTAGAACAATGGATAAGTAGCAATTATTTTCGAACAAAAAATGTGAAAACAAAATTCAATAAAAAAACATTTGAAATTGAGATAACTATCAAACGAATTGGAGTTTCGAGGAAAAAAAAAAGGAAGACACGTGTTTAAGTTCATAAATGAAAACGGCCTTTTCAGGATGTTAAATTTAAACTATGTAATAGCATTTCTACGGACTGCAGGGTGGCTTACATGGTATTTCTTAGCTCCAAATTTAAAAGTTCATGATTCACGAACTAATTATTGAGTGTAGTTTTTTTTATTCACATAATTTTCTTCGTATATTTTTTACACGCCTTCGTACTTTCAAGTTTATAAGTCTAGTTTTGTTTATGCAATAAAACAAAATGCAATGTAAAGCAAAAAAAAAGTGAGAAAAATCTTAAAATTACATTATTTTTTAAACCAAATAGAATTTCAGAAAAAAATATTCGTATTATGTTTATAACAAAACGAGCGAATCAAATTTCAACTCTGTAGTTCTCATTCCTGCTACCTGTAGAACGGCCCCTATGCTTTTTTTCCCACTAATTCAACAGTTTATAATTCTCAAATTAGAAATTATAATATTTTTTCTTTTTTTCGTTTTTTTACACTCGTTCCTAATTTCTCGTTTCTAAGTTTTATTGTGTTGCGGTACCAAAACAAAATGCAACATTAAGTTCAACACCCAAAACTCACGATTTTTAAATAAAGAGAGATATAGTTATTTCAAAAACAACATAATAGTTCAAAAAATGTTAATAAGTTAAGATTCCGATTTAAACATGTTTATCATAAACTGTTGCGCATTTCTTTTCTTTACTGGAAATATCACAGCTTCGCGTTATTATGAAGAAGCATTTCTTTCAGTTTTATGCATTTAATTTAAAAAAATAACAATAAAACAAAACATTTTATAATAGAAATAAATATTACAGGTAAATGAACTTGTAATACTGAAATATTTTATTGGTAAACAAAGCCTTTGTGCTTTTTATTAATTGTTTGCTGTTGATAAAGAACGAAATCTGAAAATTCACGTGAAAAAACTGGATAAAACTAGATCGCACCATGGAATTTTCTAGCCAATAAAAATACGTCATCAACAATGAAAACTGCTTAATGTCGTTATGTTTTTATGTTTTATAAAGATATCATTTATTTATCACTTTATCTTTACTGGATGACGTATATCAATGATGATATATCAGTTGTACTGAAAAATACGAACCTAAGTTTATTAAAATGTATTGCAATGTATTAGGTTACAAAAACAGTGCTTGTGCTTTTTTCTTCTTTGCTTGATTCTAGAATTTCTTTTCAACAGAGTTGCGATAAAAATTTCAAATTGAGAGATTAGTGTTTATTATTATACAATTATTTTTAATTAGTATATAGTACAATGGCAGTGTTTTAATACTTAAAAAATAAATTAGATGATGAAACAAAAAGCTTAAAAAATAACTTTTAGAACAATAGGCGTTATTTCTTTCACTTTCAAAGGCAAATATAATCGAAATTAATGGGAAAATAATATTAACCCTTTGACGCAAATGGGACACATGTTTCCCTTTTGTATATATTTTTTTCTGACACTCTAATTAGGAGCAAACATATACATTTTTGTATTTTTTAATTATAAAAAAAATCTAATAGTTAGTAAAAAAATTACTAGATTATTGAAATCATATTTGTACTAAAATATAAAATCCAAAAAAAGTGGTTTGAAACTTTTTACATTCCTATTCAAAAATTTAACAATTATTGATTTTATAAATTAAAGAAATCTCAATGATGAATAACTGTTTCTTTTAAATCTAAATAATGAGTGGAAATTTGAAAAATTGTTGTTTGCTAAATATAATATTTTTCACTTATATTGACCTAAATTAATGGAAAAATATTGAAAAAGTAGAAAAAATATCTCTATTAAAATATCAAAGGGTTAAGTACCTTAAATTTTCTTAAGCATCGGTAAGTGGTCAACATTTTGATTGCGAGATTCTGGGTGTAGACATGAAAGAAAATTAATAAAAATCTGGTCATAGAGTTTGCCAAGTTGTGCTTTGAATAATAATCGGATGCCTTTTAGATGAGAAATGTCAGAACTTCTTTCCGCTTTTAATTTTTATTAAACCTTTAAGGCAGAATTTTTATTAAACATATTTTTCGTACTTTTTACAATATTTTGTATTACTTTAGTTCCGAATAAGTGAAAAATAATATATTTAATATTTTAATAATTTAAGGTTAGGAAACACAGCATGAAATACCAGTGCCTTTTTCTGCATTAAATGTAAGATCTTTAAAAGACAGCTCACTTCCAAACAAAAATTTTTCAAATTTGCACTTATTTACAGTAAATTGGATCTAAGGGAAACAGTTATTCATCATTGAAATTTCTTCAACTTACAAAATCAATTATTGATAAATTCTTGTATATGATTAAAAAAGAATTTTTTTTTCGAACTACTTTTTTTGAATTTTATATTTTAGTTCAAATGTAATTTCGATTATCTATCATATTTTTTTTAAAGATTATTAGATTGTTTTTATAATTAAAAAGTACCAACATGTATTTTTGCTTGTAATTAGAGTGGCAGAAAAAAATACATAAAAGGGACAACGGTATCCCATCTGTGTTAAAGAGTTGATAAGTATAAACAATAAATAACGGAAATTTTTCCACGTAGTTTATTTAATGAAACTATATGAAATACTACGTGAGTTATGTGAACAGCACTAGTGAAATACTAACTTGATGGTGATTACTTTTAGTGATCCAGCCACTCTAGAGGTATCTGGAGCACCAGAAGCTCCATTGCCCCAAATTGTCATCCTAGGAAGGGATGGAAGAGAAGCAGGTACTGTACGAATTGGTGACAGACTCACGTTTCACATCGAGATTCCAGAAGACAGTATGCTGTTTTTTTATACTTTACAAACACTAAAATTGTAACAAGAAATGAACAATTATTTTAATAATGTTTTTCTTTTCAGCTCCATACGGAATCTTCGCTCGAAGCTGCTACGCTATGGCCAAAGATGGAAGGAGTACATTTGAAATTATTGATGATAGGGGGTAAAAATATTCATCATTTTATCGCCATAACATCATAATTTTTTAATCATCTTATTATTAATTTTTTTTTAATAATCTATTTTTTCCACTTTTCTAATATATATATATATAT